GGAAAGCTAGAGGGATCTTGGAAAGCACTTGTTTTGCAAATGAGTGGTGGCCTGTAAGCTTTAAGGCACCAAGATAGAGAAGAGCCTTGTACCTTGCATTCCAGCTCCTTGGCAAGCTCTAGCCTGACATGCTCACTGGTGCTGTTGCAGGTGGCTGTGGTGAAGTCGGAGAATACAGAATCAGCATCCCCTGGTGGGCAACCCTCCCCTGAAGACCCTACTCCACAGGTGGTGACGCTGCACGTAGCAGAATCAGGGGGTGGCATGGCAGCTGAGAGCCAGCTAGGTCCTTCTGATCTACAGCAGATCACCTTGGCACCTGGGCCCTTTGGTGGGGCTGGCTACAGTGTCATCACAGCACCCCCTACAGAGGAGGGGACATCAGCCCCTGGCACACCTTTCAGGTAGACTTGTCCTCTGCCAGGCTCTTGTCATCTTTATAACCAGCATGCTGAGACAGGCACATTTAGGCCCTGCCCACTTGAGCCTAGCCTAGCTTGTACAAAGTGATTGGGGCACAGGACAGTATCACAGGTCAGGAGCTGCCATTCTTTGGCCATCAGCTGTCCTGGGAACTTGATTTTCATGATCTCACCCAGCCTCCTCCCATGAGCTGTTTCCTTCCTTTTATAAATGAAGAAATAGGCCAAGGAGATTAGTAATTGGCCTAAGATCAGACTAGGATGAGGTAAGGCTTTGAACCCAAGTCCCACTGGTTCCCAAGACCAGGTGTTCTTTGTCTTCAGTTTTCCTGGTCTTTTCAGCTGGCATTCGGAACAAACTCAGGCTTCTTTGCCAGCATTAGAGCCTGGCACCTGCACTTGGCTTCCTTACAATGAGCGAGTTTGAGCAAGAGTGTGCTCATTGAGCCATGTAAGTGAACCCTGGGCGCAGGTGCTGAGCTGGCATCAGGAGCCCCTGTCCAGCATGGGGCAAGCCTCCTCTCAGCCTCTGCCCTCTGTCCCACTTGACCAGACTTGGGCTGGACGCCTAGCACCTTTCTCTGTTGGCCCTGCCCATCAGGACAGGAATTAGGGAATATTTCACTGCGTGAGCAGGACAGAATACTAGATACCTGGAAGCCATTCCTGGAAAAGGCAGCAGACTCAGGTTGCAAAGGCAAAGCCTCGGGTTTCCCCAAAGCTCCCATCTCGCCTACCTATGGTGGGGATTACCCACAATTGATGCCTGTGGCTTGGAAAGGCGTCCCTGTGGCCCTCCATTCTCTCCTAGAACCCCACCTCAGCCTCCTCCTTCTCTGCCCTCAGTGAGGAACCCCCAGGGGAGGCAGCCCAGGCTGTGGTTGTAAGCGACACCCTCAAAGACACGGGAACTCACTACATAATGGCAGCTGATGGGACCCAGCTACACCACATCGAGGTGAGGTTTGGGGTGTGTCCCTCCACACCCACCCAGCCCCTCCTCAGCCCCTCACACTACTGCTCTCTCCACAGCTGACTGCGGATGGCTCCATCTCCTTCCCAAGTGCTGATGCTCTGACCTCTGGAGCCAAGTGGCCCCTGTTACAGTGTGGAGGGCTGCCCAGAGATGGCCCAGAGCCCCTGTCTCCAGCCAAGACCCACCAGGCAGGGGATACCCAGGGCTCTGCCTCCTCACCTCCTGCAGCCAGCAAAGCCCTGGGCCTGGTGGTGCCGCCCTCCCCGCCATCAGCAGCCACGGCAGCATCAAAGAAGTTCTCCTGCAAGATCTGTGCAGAGGCCTTCCCAGGCCGAGCTGAGATGGAGAGTCACAAGCGGGCCCATGCTGGGCCCGCTGCCTTCAAGTGCCCAGACTGCCCCTTCAGCGCCCGCCAGTGGCCTGAGGTCCGGGTAAGCACTCCCCCTGCCACGTCTGCCTAAGCCTTCTAGCCCTTGCCTGTGTAAGAACCCTTTACTGAGCAACCCAGCCAGGTCCTCCGTCCCCTCTAGGGGCAGAGTGACTCAGCACAGTCCCATCTCTTGGGAAGCCAGTCGTAAAGTGACTTACGGCAGACATGGCTCTCAGTGTGAAGCAAACACGCAGGGCAGAGAGCAGACACACAGCCAATTGCTGGGCTTGGAGTGCTGGGGAAAACACTGAGAGAGACTGGAGGCTGGGGTCTGGGAGCAGAAACACAGGGGTGACGGTGTGAGGCATGGGTAGCGACTGCAGCTACTAAATTTCAGGGAGCAGCTTCTTGTCCCTCTGAGGCTCCCCCTGCTTGCTGAGTTTGTTTCCTGACCACCCCTGCCCTGCACCCTATGAGCTCTTCAGGGACTAGAGCCAAGGGCCCCATCTTCCTGAGGGGAAGTCCAGCTAAGCTGGACTGAGCCTGGGATGTCAGAGGTCCTTGCACCCAGCACCTCTAAGTCCTATAAGGATATGCAGAGTCTACTGCTGGCCGGGATTTCTCAGGTAAGCCAATGGCTTACCACCCTCAGGCCAGAGCCTGAGATGACTAGGTTTGTGCTTTTGACCCAGCTCGTCTAGTGCACAGGGATTTGACTCCGGTCTCCCTGGCCAATTGTCCAGGCACCTGAGCTCGCTGTCTTTCCTGACCCAGCCATGCCTGTCCTCTGCCCCGCCACAGGCCCACATGGCACAGCACTCAAGCCTACGGCCCCACCAGTGCAGCCAGTGCAGCTTTGCCTCCAAGAACAAGAAGGACCTGAGGCGGCACATGCTGACCCACACCAACGAGAAGCCTTTCTCTTGCCATCTCTGTGGGCAACGGTGAGGCCAGGCACTGCCAGATGGGGCCATGGTGCATGCGCAGTGGAACAACCCTGAGCCTGGCTTTTTTCCTCCTTCCTCAGCTTCAACCGCAATGGGCACCTCAAGTTCCACATCCAAAGGCTGCACAGTTCTGAAGGGAGGAAGTCAGGGACCCCTGCAGCCCGGGCCCCAGCCCAGACCCCCACCCAGACCATTATCCTGAACAGTGATGAGGAGACACTGGCCACACTGCACAGTGAGCTGTCACTGGGGCAGAAGGGAGGGTGTCAGAGGGGATCCAGAGGCTTGAGCCACAGCCTGAGGATACCTCTGGGCTGGGGCATTCCAAGCCTCCCTGAGGCCCCTGGGTGAACACCCTGCTCTCTGCCTAGCTGCCCTCCAGTCCAGTCATGGAGTCCTGGGCCCAGAACGGCTGCAACAGGCACTGGGCCAGGAACACATCATCGTGGCCCAGGAACAGACAGTGACCAATCAGGTAAGAGCCAAGTTGGAGTACCCTCCTGGCAGGACAAAGGCAAGATGGGGGTATCCAAGCTGAAGCTACAGCCACTTTTGGCCTTGGCAGGAGGAAGCCACCTACATCCAAGAGATCACCACAGCAGATGGTCAGACAGTACAGCATCTGGTCACCTCTGATAACCAGGTGACCTGCCCTTTCTACCCACTAGGGTCCCACCTTGGGGAGAACATGTGCTTCCCACACTACTGCCAGGGTCCGTGCTTGGTAGTATCCCTGGTCCTCCACTCTGCCTTACCTAGCTCCACCCTTCTCTAGGTACAGTACATCATCTCTCAGGATGGTGTCCAGCATCTGCTGCCTCAGGAGTACGTTGTGGTTCCTGATGGCCATCATATCCAGGTAGGCCAGACTTGGGGTGAGCTGGGGTCTGGAGGGCTGCTGGCCTCCTGGGGTCACAAATTGGCTTCCTCTCCAGGTCCAAGAGGGCCAGATCACACACATTCAGTATGAGCAGGGGGGCCCATTCCTGCAGGAGTCCCAGGTAGGATGCCAGGGAGGGGGGGGACTAAGCAGGGATGGTGCACCAATACTCTCACAGAGCTAGATCTCACCAGCTTCTCCCTTCCAGATCCAGTACGTGCCCGTATCCCCAGGCCAGCAGCTTGTCACTCAGGCGCAGCTTGAGGCTGCGGCACACTCTGCTGTCACAGGTACGGGGCTGGCTCCTGATGGAAGGTGGCTGGGGCCAGGCCTAGGTCCTGGGACCTCAGGCTCATCTTGCTTTCCCTTCCCCTGGCAGCAGTCGCTGATGCTGCTATGGCCCAAGCCCAGGGCCTGTTTGGTACCGAGGAGGCAGTGCCTGAACACATCCAGCAGCTGCAGCACCAGGGCATCGAGTATGATGTTATCACCCTGACGGATGACTGAGCCCCAAGGGCCCAACGCCGATCGTGGATGTTGGGGCTAGCTCTCCTGGGACCTGGGAGACTCACCTCCCTGTCCCCTTAAGGTGTTCATATACGGGGCAGCCAGCACCCTCTTGACTCCCAGGGAGCCAGACCTGTGCTGTTAAGGTTGGGAGGCAGCCATGGGCCCCAGCTAGGATATGCTGGGTGCCCCAGCCTGCAGGCAGGCTTTGGAAGATAAATCTATTTTTTTTTCTGGATGGACCCCACTGGGCCCTTACTCTTAATAAAGGGACCAGAGTCCAGCCCTGACCAACTTACTTTGTCCACTTGCTGCAAGCAGCCTGAAGCAGGCAAGAGACCCAGGAAGTAGAAGGCAAGGAAGGGCCTGAGGCTACTGTCCTGTGGTCAGCTTGCCCTGCCTCTCTGAGTGCCTTGGTCTTGCTATTGGGTGGACCCAGGGGGTGAACGCATGGGGTGAGGGCCTGATCTCAGGAGAGGGCTGAGCTGAGGAAGCCTGGCCCAGAGCCTGCAGACACTGTTATCCTCCTCTGGACTCCAATGGCAGACCTGGGTGGTGCTGAGGCTGGTTTTTTCCTGAGCCCTGACTGCAAACATCTGACTTCTCACTAGCATGGCTCCGCTGCCTTTGAGTCTTGTTTGGCCTGGGTACACAACACAGGTCCTTATGTTCCAGAAGTATCCCAGCAGGTAGCTTTGGGAGTTTAGAGCAAGATGATGCAGGCCTTGGACTCCTCTAGCCGCTAAGCACAGGCAGAGGCTACCAGGCACCTGGCTGTGTCAGGGCTCTGGGATGGAACATGGAGCCCCAAGGGTCATGTGAAGGGGAAGCCTGGATGTGGAGAATGATCCCAGAGGTAGCTCTAGGCAGCCCTCTCTGCTCTCATGACCCTCACACATTGTTGGTGGGGTTCTGTATTTCCTTTTACAAATGAAACAAGGCAGCAACAGGGTCAGTGTGGGGCTGGGAAGACATAGGCCTATTTACAATAGAGACTTGGAGAGAGTCCGAGGTGGGGAGAGGAGGCAGAGGCAGGGAGGGGGAGCCCTAGCAGAGCCATAATATTCCTATGTCACTGGCAGCCCAAGTCCTGCTGCCACCCCAGGGGAGGGCCCTGGAGTCCCAGCCATTCATACAGCACCCATGGGGCTCCTCCTCCCCGCAGGGTGTGTTAAGTGGGGTGAGGCTCTCGGCTAGGCCCCTGCTCTCGGCCTGAGTCCCGGTCCTTGGCCTCGGAAGATGAGGAAGAGCTGGAGCCATGGCTTCGGGCTGACTGCCGGTAGGCAGTGGTCAGCTCCTGTAACCGCTCAGGCGTCGGTCCCCACTTGGTAAAGCCAGGTTCGTTCTGTAGGAAGAGCACGGCTGTGTTGTGGACGGCCTTGTAGTGCATTTCCTCCCTGTGGGCAAAGGCAGCTGCTCAGGGTGGGGCTAGGCCTGGCCTGGTCATCTGGCCTGGCCAGCCCAGCCCTCCTTCCCTCCCCTGCCTCTTGGGCACCCACTTCTTGCAGATGTGCTGGGAGCCACTGCGGTATTCGTGCTCAAAGGCAGGCAGGACCAGCTGGTGGCGTTTGAAGCGGCTCTGCTCCATGCGGGTGAGCACTGGTGTGGGGGGTTCCCGCCACTCAGGGATGAACACGATGAAGGACAGGGGCTCTGGTGAGCTATCCAGCAGTTTCTGTGGAAAGGAACAGGGGGTTGGGGGGCGGGGACACATCAAGAGCTGCCCTCCAGGGCTCTGATAATTCCGCCTGCCTCCCCATTGGTAGCCACAGACCCACCTCAAAGTGAGAGACCATCGCATCCATGAGCTCCTCACAGAATGGAGGGTTGGCCTCAAAGGAACCACTCAGTGGGGCGAAGTCCAGACAGGGGCTAGGGATAGAAGATATTAGGTCCCACCTGGATCCAGCCAAAAATGGGGAATCCCTCCACCCCTAGGCAGCCACACTGAAGAGATGCTATGGTCAGGCAGAGACCAACATGCCCATTGGATGGATGAGGACAGAGGCTTGGGTACAGGGTCTTTGCCTATGCAGCTGAGGTGTTGGAGTTGTAAGGTACCACAACACAAGCCGCACCCAGGGCTTCCCTGGCTGCTGAGCACCAGGCCTGGCCCTTTCTTGATGAAAAGCTATCCTCTTCATCTGGCTCTTCCCACCCCCACTGGCTTTGAGTCTGCCTTACCATTTCTTAGTGTCTGGAACCAGACTGGTCCTATTCCAAACCTGAGCTGACTCACTGAGAAGTCTGCAGACCAGGTTAGGTATTACTAGGGCCCAAAAAGCTGAGACTCCCAGAAGGGGAGTAGCCCTGACATGCTGCTTCACAAGACTGCCTGCCTCCAAAGCCCTGAAGTCTTGGGGAACAGCTGGCTGAGGTGGGACCCATGCCCCGAGGACCACTTCCCGGGCATGGGCAGAAGGGGCTCTCACCCTCGGGAACCAAAGTAGCCATCTGTGTCAGGGAAGGCAGAGCAGTACTGGCGGAAGTAGCAGTTGAGGGGTGAGGCAAAGCACTCAAAGCTGACGCCGAAGAGTCGGTGGAGAGCCTCAAAGACGTGCACAGGCAATGATCCCTGCAGGCCAGTCCCCTCATAGAGGCCCACTCCAAACATCATCTGCAGCGTAGCCAGTCAAGAGTCAGGCCCGGTCTCCCTACTCCCTCCAAGGGGAGCCCTTCCCCAGCTGCCCCAGGCCTGTACCTGGTATCGCCGGAGAAGACACCAGACCCGCGGTAAGAACCGCTCCGAGGCAGAATCATCGATACAGCTGTAGCGGTAAAGGAGCCACTGTGGGACAGAAAATGGCTTCAGCAGGTGCCCCACACCCTCATCAAGGGTCACCTGCTGAGGTCTGTAGGTCAAGAAAGATACCAAGCTCTTACCAGCTTGCTGAAGTAGTTGCGGCTGACCTTGACCATTTCTCCCTTATACCGAATGCAGACCACATTGTTCTCCATGTGCATCTCCACGCTGGGCATGGGGGGCGCGGACACGGCCAGCCGCACAGGGTAGCAGTACACTAGGCGGGGCTCCATCTCGGAGGCCTCCACCTCCTCTGTGGACAGGGAGAACGGTGAGGGGCCGGCCTGCCCAGTACGACCTCGGCACCTACTGTGTGCCATGTGCACTAAATGGAGCCAGAAAAGCCTCATTCCACAGGTCAGTAATGGTGGCTCAGGCAAGTTCAGTAAGAAGGAACCAAAAAGCCATTCAAAATAAAAGTACCAGATAACTGGCAGGAACTAGTCAACATGCTTGGCACTGAAGCAGACCCTATTTTCCTTGTCTTGGGCCTAGAAAGCAAGTAGGCTCAAGCCCTTGGATTTCACTGCTGAGCAGAAGTATGAGAACTATGTTTCCTTCTTGGAGACCTTTGAAGGGCAAGCAGTTTACCTGAGATAGCTATGGATGCCCGGTCCTCTGGTCAGGTATTGCACCTCAGTCTGGGGAAAGCAAGGCTTGCACAGAGAATGGATGGAAGCTGGATGCCCCTACTTCCTGACATGTCTTTATCCACTAACTGGCTCTTCCTTTCTCATCACCTCTGTCTTCCAGAGGAGTGCTGACACTGGCTAGCCAGAGGACACATCAGGTTTTGACCCAAACATGGGAGATAATGGACTCCCAAACCAGGTCATGGCCTTGAGGCTCAGCCTCAATTGCTCCCTCCAGCAGAGCCTGGGTCACAGAGTTGATGTCACTGACCCTACCTGGAATATTGTTTTCCTTGAGGATGGCGAGGTGCTTCTCTCGGATCCGTTTGACATATTCCAGGGAGATGTGATAGATCTTGCTGCAGATTCCTTCCACAGAGTCCTTGGCTGCAGCTGAGACGTGGGGGCCACACTGCCTCCGCAGGTGCTCCAGGCGGTCCTGGAGAAGACTCCAGATCAGGATACTTGTGGAGGCCAAGGGTCTCAGCCGGGCTGGCAGGCAACTGCAGGGCTGTTAGATTCCAGCAGTCCTGGTTTTGAAACTGGCCCTGCTACTTACTAGCTGTCACTTTGACAGATCCCTTGACTTCTCTGAACCTTTCTCAACTGCCGAGGGAATTCTGAGAGGGACAAGTGATCAGTCCCCTTGAGGATTTACCATGCCTCTGGCATGCGTGTCTGATACACGCCGGCAGTGTTTGTTGGCATTACACAGTACTGCAGCCCATGCCAACTAGTGGAGAAACACAAGCCAGCAGTGTTCGGGCTTACGTTTGCAATCCACCAGAGCGAGCCAATTCCAACAGAGTTTGGTGCAGATTTAAAAAGTGAGCTTTGAGCTACTTGTAAGTCACTGTAGGCAGTTCTGATTTTGCTGAGTCACATGTGTGAAACTGAAGAGTGAAGATGAGTCACCCTGGCTTGTGAGCACACCTACCTTTGGCACTGTACGTGTCAAGTACACAGTTACTACTGTGAAATGCAAAGCCTCGTAGTCTTGTGGAAAAGAGCCCTGAAAAGAAAGCCCTTTGCTAATGCTGGGGATGTACTTTAAGAAGAGATGGGTTCTGGTCCCAAAAAAAAACCCAAAAAACAGAAATGTTCTGGACACATTAAGAAAGGGTGATGGCTTTAACTGTAATACAGACAAATATAGAAGAGAAGGCAGTTTGTCAGTCTGTTTCCAAAAATCTTCTCAGGGGAGATGTTGAAAAGGGAGCTCTTTGTATGTGGCCAAGCTTAAAATTGCATTAGATGTTAATGGAAATGTTCTTTGGGAAAGAGCCAGGAGCCTGGATGAACATCTCCAGTCATGAGTCTGGGGACTGAGAAAGTCAAGGTTTGCTGTTGAAGCCCATCTGTACATACCCAGAGGTAAGGAAGGCTTCCTGGAGGAGGTAGCTACAGAGCCTGTGTGTGTGTGTGTGTGTGTGTGTGTGTGTGTGTGTGTGTGTGTGTGTGTGTGTGTGTGTTGAACTCAGGCCACAGAGCCTCTGTGTGTGTATGCACACCAATTCTGGGGCTTGAACTCAGAGCCAGAGCATGTGTGTGTGTGTGTGTGTGTGTGTGTGTTCTGGGGCTTGAACTCAGAGCCAGAGTGTGTGTGTGTGTGTGTGTGTGTGTGTGTGTGTGTGTGTGTGTGTGTGTTCTGGGGCTTGAACTCAGAGCCAGCGCCTGTGTGTATGTGTGTGTGTGTGAATTCTGGGGCTTGAACTCAGAGCCAGAGCCTGTGTGTGTGTGTGTGTGTGTGTGAATTCTGGGGCTTGAACTCAGGGCCAGAGCCTGTGTGTGTGTGTGAATTCTGGGGCTTGAACTCAGAGCCAGAGCCTGTGTGTGTGTGTGTGTGTGTGTGTGTGTGTGTGTATGTGTGTGTGTGAATTCTGGGGCTTGAACTCAGAGCCTGTGTGTGTGTGTGTGTGTGTGTGTGTGTGTGTGTGTGTGTGTGTGTGTGTGTGTGAATTCTGGGGCTTGAACTCAGGGCCAGAGCCTGTGTGTGTGTGTGTGAATTCTGGGGCTTGAACTCAGAGCCAGAGCCTGTGTGTGTGTGTGCACGTGTGCGTGTGTGTGTGTGAATTCTGGGGCTTGAATTCAGAGCCTGGGCACTGTCACTGAGCTCTTTTGCTCAAAGTTAGTGCTATGCTATACTACTGTGAGCCACAGCTCCACTTCCAGTTTTTGAGTGGCTAATTGGAATAAGAGTCTCATGGGGAGTTTTTTTGCCTGGGCTAGCTGCAAACCTTGATCCTCACATCTCAACCTCCTGAACAGCTAGGATTATAGGCATGAGCCACTAGCATCTGGCTTCCCTTAGCTTTTTGTTCAAAGCTAGCACTATCAGTTGAGCCACAGCTCTGCTTCTGGCTTTTTGGTGGTTAGTTGGAGATGGAATCTCACAGACTTTTCCTGCCTCTCTGGGCTGGATTTTAATTGCAATCATCAGGTCTCAGCTTCCTGAGTAGCTGGATTACAGGTATGAGCCACTGGAGCCGGGCCACCGAGCCTTTTAACCGGCCTACCCCAGGGCCCACTCACCATGTAGTCCTCCTTGGAGGCTGAATGGTCCTTTCGAAGCCAGCTGAAGGTGTCTTCCACATTCCACTTGACCACCTTCCTGCTGTCAGGGGATGCGCTCCTGCACGCCAAGGGCAGAGGAAAGGGCTCAGTCATCCAGGTGTCTGCTCTATCGCCCTCTCCCCACAACCCACCTGACACTGAGGCACGGCTCCCAGGCCCTTGTTCTGTTTTTGGGAGCAATGACTGCCTTATATAGGTGAGCCAAGGCAAAGGTCCCTAAGACGTTCCCCTCTGACCACGGGCCTGCCTCATGTGGGGCAGAGAACCAAACCTGGACTCAATAAGCCGCCTGGCAGCCTCTGCATATTTGAAGAGCAGGCGCTTGGCTTCCTCCCGGAACTTGATTCGAGATAACCTGGGTTCAAACATTGGCAGAGTTAGAGCCCATCTACACATGACTGGGCACAGAAGCCAAGTGGCCCAGCTGAGGGGCTGTACCTGATGGGAATGTCATTCATGATTTCACGAAACATGGAAGGTGACACGACTGGTTCACAGTTGCTTGGCAACAGGGGATCAGATCCTTTGTCTACCACCTTGCGCTCCAGCATCCAGCGGTTGAAAGATTCCCGGGGAGGCTCAATTCCTGCAGGATAGGAGCATTGCTGAGGATCTGGATCTAGAGCCAATGGGCTCTAACAGGCTTCTGCCTGGCACACAGGAGGCATAATGTTGAGTAGTCAACAAGAGATAGTTCCTATTAGCTCTAGAAGGCATTTCCTAGACTTTATTCTGATCATCACTAATAGAGTTTTTGTTTTTGTGATAGTTGCTTGTTTCTTAGGCTAGGGTCCCCCTATGTAGCCCGGGACTGGTCTCAAACACACAATCTTCCTGCCTCAGCCTCCTGAGTGCCAAGATTACAAGTATGGGTCACCACACCTGGCTCGAATCATTTTAAGTTTTACAGTGTTAATGAGTGCTAATAGGGTAAGAAGGGGAGAGAAAAGTTTATATTTCAGCAAAGTCAAGCCTCTATAAAACTTAAAAGCTGAAGTTTACTGAGAACTTATGTACCTATGAAGCATAGGTATTCTTGTTTTAATTCTCTTTTACAGATATGTGAAAAGCACTGACATTACCTAACAAATAGTGGTTCCAGCCACCCTTTATGTAAGAACAGGTATTATCCTCGTTTGAGAGATGAGGAAACCATAGCACAGAGAGATTTAAGTGAAGGACCTGGGATCACAGAGGCAGCAGACAATAGAGCAGGTCTCCAACAGGTCTGTTCCCCTCAATGCCTTCTCTGCAGCACCAGACTCCCCTTCATCCCTTCTTCATCCTTGAGCCCACATGGTACAGCCCTAGCTCTTGCTAAAGGTGGATGGGAATGGGGGAGGGGAGGCCTGCAGCTAGGGATGGTTACCTTCCCGCTGCTGGCACAGCTCCCGGTAGTGCTGCCTAAGCTTCAAGATTAGCTGGGAGCGAAGCAGCTCCACTTCAGGATGTGGAGGCAGGATCTCTGAAGGCCCTCGGTGTTTGATGACAGCATTGGTCTGGATATCCAGGTCCCAGTACACCCTTGAGACAGACAGGAGTGCTGAGGATGGCCTGCCCCTACCACCACACCCCACAGTCCCAGGCAGGCTGGCCATCAGCAATGGTGCCTGCGAGACAATCCACAGAGACTCACTCAGTGGGCCGGAGAAGTGCTGCCTGCTGTTTATCTTCAGAAGATGCACCCCAAATCTTCAGAGTTGGGGTTCCTGGGATGCTGGGCGAACTGGGCACCGACTGGCCTGTGGGTGTCACAGGGATTTCAATCTGGAGCAGAAGAACCAGAAGCAGCAGATCAGAAGACAGCAAGCAGGCTCTAGCACCTAACCCTGAGCCCTGGTGAGCTGTAGCTCAGCACTCCTTCGAGCCCGAGCCCGAGCCTGCTGGCTGCCTGCCTGGAAGCGGCCGTGTACCAGCTAGGTCTTGAGACCCCACACACTCACCTTAGGCTTCTTTACACCATTGCCACTTGGCTGCTCTTCGGAGAGCTGCCGCTTTCTGGACTTGTTCTCAGCTAGGGGGGCTTCCACCAAGCTTGAGTCTTGGGGCAGTGGGGTTGCATTCAGCCCCAAAGGGTCCGACTAGGGGAGGAAGAATAGCAGAGTTGCAGCCAAGGCTGGCAGCTTGGGAACCCCAGTATCTTGAAATTCTCCTGCCCTCATGTTCTGCTCTTATTCCTCAGAAGAGCAGAGGGCTGGACTGCAGGGGGAGAACACGCTTCTGCTGCTGCCTGCTACTTGCTACTTTGTGGGCTCCTGTGAGCTACTAGTCTCTTCTTCATTCCCTCATCTTCAAACGGCCATGCTAATTATCTCACCAATGAAAAGATTATGACAGTGAGTATAACTTGCACAAGATCAATACTCAGTGCACTAATTGATCTTCCTTCAGAAAATAATGAAAGTCCAGAGCGAAACTCAAGAAATGCTTATTTTAAAAAAAGGCTCAGGTTAGACCTCCTTTGGTCACATAATAAGGTGGTAAGCAGGTGCAGTCCTGCTCTGCTTGATGTTAGCTGTGAAGCCGTGGTTGTCATTACCCCTCTGAACCTCTGGTCTTCACCTGCAACACAGGATGCCACCTGCCTACCTAGAGTAAAAGCTACTCTAGCCAAGAGAACCCAAAGACTAAGCTCCTCCCAGACAGTCCATGCCTGCACTTCGCTTTACAGACACATTCCAGTTCCTAGACCACTCTTCTTAACACTCTCACGTAGCTAATCTCACCTTAAAGGCTGATTCTTGGAATCATTTCCTGCCCGTGTGATCCTCCCCAGGCCAGGCAAAGTCACTAATGTGCTCAAACACCTACAAGTCCACCACTATAATCCTGTCCCTGCTAGCAGAGCTTGAACATGCCCAAGGCAAGGCAGCGTGTCTATCTCCACACCTTTCTCCTTTGCACAGGACCAACACCGGTTCTCTATGCTGCACTGTTAGAATCATCTGTCTGTCTCCCATTTGAATGTAAGTTCCATGAGGTGACTGTGTCTTGTGGGACATCGTATCTATAGATGTCAGCATAGGGCGAGGCACTCAGCTGAAGGGGTATACTTGAGGAAGGCCCACATGCGAGAGGCTGCTCTGAGACTGCCACCCCAGGCTGCCACTCACAATCACATCATGCTGGCCCAGCACTGGCATCTCCCAGAGGGACTGGTTGGTGAATCGGTTGAAGTAGTAGGGACGATTCTCTCTCCGGCTCCAACACTTCTCCCAGCCTGCGTGCACCAGCTCCTCTGAAACAGGCATGGAACCACCCAGGCCAGAGTTGGGGCTGCTCTTGGAGCCACCTTTCTCCCTGGCTTGTCCCCCTTGACTCCCCACCAGTACCTGGGAGATCCTGTACCAGGCGCACTGGCTTTGGAGAACAGGGCTGGCTCTGATTGGAGGTGCCCGGGGAGTGACTCAGCAGGGAAGCTTCCTCCCGGGGGCTACCGTGATTCTCATTGGCCATCTCAGCACCCACACAGGACCTGCCACACAGAGGACCAAAGAGTCAGCTCCTCCTTCCAGACAGTGACCACCCACCGACATGGAGAAATCCAACCCAGTCCTGCCGTGGGAGCCTGCTAGCACCACCAAAGGCACCCTGACTTCTAAGTTTAGTTCCCTCAACTGTAAAATGAGTGCTCTCCTGCTGCTCCCTCTGATTAAAAGTACTCTCTCCAGTTCTCTTCCATCCTCCATTAAGCCTTCCTTGACTGTGCTTCTAGCCTGTGCCTCTCCTCAATGCCAGTAATACCAGCACTGTTGTTTTATCAGCTGGGGTTTTCATTAGGAATAGGAGATTGGTTCAATGCACTCTCAACTTGCTACCTGGACCAATGGGAGCTCTATTAATCCTGAAAACGTTTAAAAAGCACCTACAGTAGCAAACAAGACAGAACCAGGTCTGCTCTTGAGAATCTACAAGAAAGACCAGTAGTGAGGAATCTTCCTCTTGGGAAGTGGAGGTCGGCACAGTATTTTACAGCTACCAATCAGTAAAATCTCAGTGATGCAAGGGAGGCTGGGAAAGGGACTTAATCTAGCTAGTCACCTCGTTCTACACTCAAGGACAGCAAGCAATCTGTTTCTAAAGGAACTTGTGTGAGCTGGAAGCCGGTGGCCCACACCTGTAATCCTAGCTACTCAAGAGGCTGAGATCTGAGGATCACGGTTTGAAGCCAGCCCAGGCAGAAAGTCCCCGTGAGACTCTTTTATCTCCAATTAACCACCCAAAACCAGAAATGGTGCTGTGACTCAAGGGGTAGAGCACTAGCTATTAGCACAAAGAGGCTCAGGGACAGCACCCAGACCCTGAGTTCAAGCCCCACAGCTGACAATAAAAAAAAAAAAAAACCGAACTTGAGCATCAAAGGACTAATTCAGTCCTTCAGAATTCCCAGGTAAACACTGGCTTTAACTTACTATCAGCAAGGAGGCCAGCTTCCTCAGCTTTGAATTACCCTCCCCCACCCCCTTCCCATCCAAAGTATATCAAGCCAGAAAGCCTCAGGGGCAGAAGTAGTTCCCAGCCTGGGGCAATTAAAACCCCAGGAGGCCCAGTGAGATCTAAGGGTGACTAAAGTTGTTTTCAATATGTCACAACACCCACACACACAAAAAATTAACCCTACCCAAAATAAAACCACAAAGGCAGATTGAAACATTATCTTTAACATGCTGAATTTTTACCAACTCATTGTGGCCACGCTAATCAGGAGCCTTGATTGGTTGTTGACATAAGAATCATGGGGACATTGATTTTATTGTACATTCGGTCATAGACTCTTGTTAATTTGGAAAGGAAAAAAGTAAATGGTTCTACTTAGGGTACAATATGGCAGATACAAACACAGAGCAACAGGACATGGATACAACACAAGAAGGCCTTGGTAACAAAAAGGCTTGGAATTGTTGCTTGGGGGCTTGAGCCCATGGGTTTCCAGCTGAACGAGTACCCCCCTTTCTCACCCTCTGGGGTCTGCAATGCTAGCATGAGAGGGTTTTCTTCTCCAGCCGGGCTGACCCCACGTCACAGGATCCCACAGAAGTAGTGGGGAGGCCTGAAGGAAGGCTCAGCACAGGTGGGTGGGCGGGTCAGCAGTGAAGTGGACAGGAGCCCTGGGGACTCCTGGCATCAGCAGCTGGAGAACAAATAGAAAAAAAGAGAGTCACTGACCCACAAATGCTGCCAGGCAGGAACAACAGCAACCCCTAGGGCATGATACTCTGGGGGAGGGGAAGATTTAGAGCCTCCTAACCAACAGGTTTGCAGTTCAGAACATTGGACCCCATGATCAGAAAGGGCCCATGTTCAGGAGGGCCCTGAAACTGGTTTAATCAGGAGAACTAGGCTCTACTGTCATCAATCTGAAATTTTTCTTCTGTGCTGTAGATCAAAGGCAAGGCCTAGAGCCTGAAAGACAAGCCTTCTACCACAAATTACACACCCAGGACAGAATCTGTGTGAATGTGTTTGTGGGCCAATCCTGGGGCTTCACCTCAGGGCCTGGGAGATAGCCCTGAGCTTTTTTGCTCAAGGCTAGCGCTCTGCCACATGAGCCACAGCTCCATTTCCAGCTTTTTGGTGGTTAATTGGAGATAAGCATTTGAAAGACCTTCAATGATCCTCAGATCTCAGCCTCCTGAGTAGCTAGGTTTACAGGTGAGCCACCAGTGCCTTTCTTTTTTTTTATTTTTTAAGATGGGGGTTTTGCTGTATTGCCCAAGCTAGTGTCCTACTACTGACCTCAAACAATCCTCCCCACGACTACAGGGCATGCTATAGCAACTGGCTTTAAATAATTTTAAACAAAAGGTCTATGTTTCCATTTTGAATAGTAGCCTCCACAAACTGTGGAATCAGCTCTGCCAACCAAAGTGCTCTTAGGCCAATGAAAGTGATAGTGGGGCACCGGTGGCTCACACCCAAAACCCTAGCTATTCAAGAGGCTGAGATCTGAGGATCAGGGTTCAAAGCCAGCCCAGGCAAAAAAAGTCCATGAGATTCTTATTTACAATTAACTGGAAAAAAAAAAAAAAAGCCAAAATTGGAGCTCTGGTTTAAGTGGTAGAGCACTAGCCTTGAGCAAAAAAAGCTCAGGGCAGCACCCAGTCCTTAAATCCAAGCCCCAGAAAAATGTGAATAAGCATAGGCATTATAGATCTGGGCACCATCCCAAGCCATCTACACAAATGGAAGGCACACTTTTTTTTTTTGGTTGGTCATGGGGCCTGAACTCTGGGCCTGGGCACTGTCCTCAGCTTTTCAGCTCAAGGCTAGCACTCTACCACTTGAGCCACAGCACCACTTCTGGCCTTTTCTGCTTATGTGGTGCTAAGGATTCGAACCCAGGGCCTCATGCATGCAAGGCAAGAACTCTAGCACTGAGCCACCTTCCCAGCCCCAGCTTTTTTTTGACCAGTAGTGGTGCTTGAACTCAGGGCCTGGTCTCTGTCCTTTAGCTTCTGCATTCAAGGCACTCTAACCACTGGAGTCACAGCTCACTTTTTTGGTGGTTCATTGGAGATTAGAATCTCACAGATTTTCCTGCCCAAGCTAGCTTCAAATTGGGATCCTCTGTGAAAGACAGTTTGAATAATGTCTTGAGTAAAAAAAAAAATAAAGACATGTTACGGAACACATCCAATTTATCTTTATTTAACAATGTTTCTCCAAAAAAATGGTCTGTAAATACTGCACCAGATAGAGGCACTTTGTAGACCAGAACAGATGAGCACAGCTTAGTGTGAGGGCAAAATGCATTTTCAAACTCAATCTGTATCAGAATCATCTGGGGACTTGTTTAAAAAAACAAAAAGGGGCTGGGAAGGTGGTTCAGTCGTAGAGCGCTTGCCTTGCATGCATGAGGCCCTGGGTTAGATTCCTTAGCACCACATAAAGCAGAAAAAAAAAGCCAGAAGTGGTGCTGTGGCTCAAGTGGTAGAGAGCTAGCCTTGAGCTGAAGAGCTGAGGGACAGCGCCCAAGCCCAGAGTTCAGGCCCCAGGACTGGACCAAAAAAAAAAAAAAAAAGCCAGGTACTGGTGGCTCACACCTGTAATCCTAGCTACTCCGGAAGCTGAGATCTGAGGGTCCTGGTTTGAAGCCAGCCTGGGCAGAAACATCCATGAAACTTATCTCTAATCACAAAAGAAAAAGCCAGAAGTGGTGCTGTGGCTCAAATGGTAGAGTGCTAGCCCAAGCCCTGAATTCAAGCCCCAGGACTCGCACAAAAAAATAAAAATAAAAAGACAGGTCAGGTGCCAGTAGCTGGTGCCTGTAATACTACTTAGGAAGTTGAGATCTGAGGATGCTGGTTCAAAGCCAGCTCTGGCAGGAAAACCAACGAGAGTTTTATCAGCCAGAAAGGGAGCACCAGCCTTGAGCAAAAAAAGCTGGGGGAGGAAGCGGTGCTGTGGCTCAAGGTAGAGTGCTCGCCTTGAGCTGAAGAGCCCAGGAACTGTGCCCAAGCCCAGAGTTCAAGCCCCACGACTGACAAAAAAAAAAAAGCTGGGGGACAGTGGCCAGACTCTGAGTTCAAGCCCCAGGACCAGCACTCCCCCGCCCCCACCAAGAAAAAAAAAGTTTCAAAGTTTCAAAGAAAGCCAAGAGAAAGCACAAGGCTGGGTTGAGGCCCTGGTATAGCAGGCACTAAAAACAAAATAGCCAGGCGCTGGGGCTGACACCTGTAATCCAAGCTGCTGAGGCTGAGATTGGGGCTTGAAACCAACACCCCCCCCCCCGGGGGGGGAGGAAAAGTCTGTGAGACTCCTGTCTCCAATAAACTTATCAGAAAGAGCTGTGTCACCGAGGCTCAAGTGGCAGAGCGCTAGCCTTGGGCACAAAGAGGCTCAGGGCCGGCGTCCAGGCCCCGAGTTCAAGTCCCAGGACCAGCAAAACATGAAACTAAAAATAAGAGTATGAGGTTCCTGAACCCTTCGCATCTTGAAAGTCAGAAACAGGGAGAGGAGCCACGAGAAGAAAAAAAAACAAAACTGCAGACTTCCCAAGGCACCTCCATTTAAAGGTGACACCGACTCGCAGTCGTTAGGAGCTGAGGGCGGCCCGGCTCGGGGCACAGCGAGCGCCGGGCATGCGTGAGATGCTGGGCTCAAACCTCACCGCACGTTAAAAAAAGGTGGATTCGTCAAATCGCTCTCCGACCGCGGGGGAACAGGTGCGCGGCCGAGATGCCGGCGGTGCCGGCCGCACTCCGCTCCGGACCGGCCCGCCACGCCCCCCGGGAGCACAGAACCCCGCACACTCCACACGCTCAACACAGGACAGCGGCTCTTCTCAAGACAAAGCTTTTATTTAGCCTGCGGCGTCCCGACCCCCCCACGCCTACCGCCGTCGACGCAGCTCAGCCAGACCTAAGGCCAAATAACTGCAGCTGCGCAACTGGAGGAACCTACCAGAAGGAAAAGAGCCCCGATTCCGGGATTGGAGTTAAGACGGGGCGGGAGCATCTCACCGGCGTGCCAATCAGAACGCTCCGGGCCAGCGGGGCGGAGTCACGGGACTTACGGGCACGTGCGCAGGCGCGGGGGCGGGAGCGAGCGAGCGAGCGAGCCCGCCCGGGAGCGAGCGCGCCCGGACGCCAGGGCGTCCCCCGGCGCGCGTCCCTCCGCCCCACCCCCGGCCCCGGCGGGGGCGGGCTGTTTGGCGCGCGCGCGACGGCCCATCTCCCGGGCTCCGCCCCCCGCCCCGCCGCGCGCTCCCGCCCCCGGGCTGAGGCGACTCAGAGTCGGAGCCCGACACAAAGGCGGTGGCGGCGGCGGCAGCGGAGGGACCCTGGAGGCCGCTCCGCCCGCGCTCTCCAGGCCCGCATCCCTCAGCCGAGCCAGCGGCCCGGCTGCCCACCCGCGGGCCTAAGATGGCGGCGGCAAAAGAGACCCAGCAAGCGGCAGCCCCGAGCGGAAAGCGCCGGAGGGGCCTCCATCACTCGGCTTCGGATCCCCGGACCGTGGCGCGGCTCGCGGCGAGACCGTGGCATCCTGGGGCTCTTACCTGCCCGAAGCGGACTCGAGGGGACGCGGCTACACGTTCTGCTCGACCGCCTGTTTTGCCGCCTCCGCCTCGCCCTCCCCAGCGCCGCTGCCGCCATCTTGTGTCCCGGGCCGGGACTCCGCGCTGCGCATGCGCCGGTACCGCCTCTGAGGGACCTGGCCGCGGCCGCGCCGCCATCTTGAGTGTGGCAGAGTCGGCTGGCGGCCCGGGCCTGGCTGGGTTTCGGCCCCCTCCCCTTCCTCTGGCCCTTCTCCGCGGTCCTCCGTAGCTCTGAGGAGAGGGAAACGGCATGTGGGGACTGGGGTGGGGACTGGGGGAGCCGTGAGTTCACAAGCACACTCCCGCCTCGGTTTCCCCCGCGGACGCACCCGCAGGGGCCGGGGGACCTGGTCGGCGTCCCCAGGGCCTTACAGGGCTGGCTGGGAGTGTGGGGACTCGGGCTCCGTCGCCAGCCCGGGGCGGAGTCCCGGTGACGTGAGCTCTGGACGCAGTGGGCACCTGGGTCCTAGCCCCCGAACGCTCTGCAGCTTCCGGACGGGCCCTCGCCCTCTCTGGGCCTCTGTCCCGTCAGGGCGCCAGGATGTTTGGCAGCCTCGCCCCCACATCCAGGGACATGCCGACCGAGCGCTTCCTCAAGTGCTCGAGTAGAAGCCATCGGCTGCCCGGGGGCTGGGAGCGTGTGCAGGTAATAGAGATGGCTTTGGGCTTGGTTGGGAAATTTTAACAGTGCCCTGGAGTTGGCTTTCCCATGCTAACCTCTCACGCCATTAGTTAAAAGTTCGCAAGCCTCACCGAAAGGCTGGAGACGTAACTCCACTGATCGCTTGTCTAACCTGAGCAAGACCGTCTATCGGATCCCTAGCCTGGCAAAAACAACGGTGGGAAGCCGTGCGGAGACCGCGAAGCAGCTGCAAAGTTTAGCCTAGCGAGGAGTCGGCGGTTGCTAGGTGCCTCTTGCCCCGCCCCCTGCCCGAGTGCTCTAGGTGCGGGCCAGTGATACAGACTAGTAGCACCTCCCACTACTGGCCTAAAGAGCCAATGGTAGGGGTAGCTGGAAGAGGACAAGTTTGCCACCTGCTGTTAGCTTGGCACTGCAGCTGGTCGTCCTCGCAGGTCCCAGACTTAGACTGCCTGAGCTTGGGGGTGTAGTTGGGAGAGATTTAAGACAATCCGAGGTATTACGGGTATGGTCAGTCCGGTTTCAGATTCACACACCCCAGATGTGTCATCTTCAAGCAGTTAACCTCTCATAAACATAGCTTCCTTAAAGTAAAATCCACCTCCTAAAGGTTTGGCATGAGGCAACGAAGGTGATACAGGTAATGTTCTCTGCACAGTCCCTGCATTTTGAAAATAATGTTAGCTGTGATCATCTCAGGTTTGGGAATCCTCCAGAGGTACATTTGCTCTTCAAGCACAGCAGGTACAGGCTGAACAGGCTGGAAGGCTGGATAGAAAGCCAAACGTCTGGGACCTACACAGGAGGACTGACTGTCATGCAGCACCTGAGACGGTCTTGGTTTGGCTTATGCTTGTTGTTGTGGCATAATTATCAAGAATCACCGCGGGGCACCTGTGGCTCCCACGGGTAATGTAATCCTAGCTACTCAGGAAACTGAGATCTGAGGATCATGTCCAACCAGGGCAGGAAAGTCCACGAGACTCATCTCCAGTTAACCACCAGGAAACCGGAAGTTGCACAGTGCAAGCACTAGTCCTGAGCAAAAGACCTAAGCCCTATTTCAAGCCCCACGACTGACCCCCCCCCCCAAAAAAAAAAAATCCTCAGGTTTGGGCAAATTACAGAAGCCCTACATGTTTATGAATTCCTAGTTCCTATTTAGTTGTGTGACTTCACTATAGACCATCTGTAGCTAGTGTGAAGCTATGAACCCTAGTACCATAAAAACAGTGATTGTTATGTGCAATTGCTGTTAGATTTTAGTTTTCCTTTTTCCTCCTATTTTTAAAAATTAACTATACAGGGGCTGGGAAGGTGGCTCAGTAGTAGAGCACTTGCCTTGCACGCTTGAGGCCCTGGGTTCGATTCCTCAGCACCACATAAGCAAAAAGAAAAAAGCCGGAAGTGGTGCTGTGGCTCAAGTGGTAGAGTGCTAGCCTTGAGCTGAAGAGCTGAGGGACAGCGCCCAGGCCCAGAGTTCAGGCCCCACGACCAGACCCAAAAAAAAAAAAAAATTAACTATACAAAGGAGATTCAATTCAACATGTCAGTTTGAATATAATACATCTTGGTCATCAATGTCACCCCTTCCATCCATCCCTGTAAGTAACCTGGCTCCATTTTCACATTGGTACATTGAATATTATGGCTGCATTTGCCCATCTTTTCTCCATTTGTCCCTTCTTTTAGCCTTACCCTCTTCTCACAAAACCAGTTGATAGCCAAGGCCCCACACAACCCAAGTATCCCTGTTTTACCAAGGAGTCCTGTGAGTGGGTATGTCAGATCTGCAGTTGAACAAACAGCCAGCGGGACAGGCAGGGATGAAATCACTGCTCAAGTTCACATAGCCATGAAGTAACATGGGATTTTAAGCCCAAGGTTCCTAATATCAGAACACACACTGGTTGCACTAAACCTCACTGGACTCCAAGGGAAAGACAAGGCACACAGCAGCTTGGACATCCCTTTTTCAATATCTTACAGATTCCTTGGTGTTCAACACTGCAGTTCATCTTATCTACCCTCCTGGAATTTGTCCTTTGTGATACATTTCAATGTCCACAGAGTCAGTCTTCCTTTTTTTTTTTTTTGTCGGTCATGGGGCTTGAACTCGGCTTGGGCGCTATCCCTCAGCTCTTCAGCTCCAAAGCTAGCGCTCTACCACTTGAGCCACAGCACCACTTCCGGCTTTCTGGTGGTTTATTGGAGATAGGAGTCTCATAGACTTTCCTGCCCCAGCTGGCTTTGAACCGAGATCCTCAGATCTCAGCCTCCTGAGTAGCTAGGATGACAGACATGAGCCACCGGTGCCTGGCTCAAAGTCTTCCAAACATCTTCATTTTCACTACCTTCAAGCAAGCCTCAATACTTACAACTTTTTGTTTAAATGGCACATGAGTTGTAATTGAGGGTGTGCTCCTGTGGTCCAAGCTGCTAGGAAGGCTGAGAAGAGCACTTGAAGCCAAGGGTTTGAAAGACCAGCCTGGGTAATATAATGGGGCTCAAAAAAAAAAGTAAAATGATTCTCACAAAACACATGTAGGTAAGGTGCTTACTAGTCCAACAGATGTTCTTACAGGGTAAGTGCTGTGCGGATACTTTTGTGATCCACAACACTTCTTTTATAGTTGACCTCAGTGTTTGTCCCTAACCACTGTAGCTTTGCCTCTTCCTTAAACTTTGTGTAAATGTAATATTTTGTGTTGCTACATATGTCTACGTTGAGTTCATGTTCATTGTTATATTCCATCTTCCATTGTGCCATGAGGGCTATTTCAGGCCTTACCTCTGCAAAATCGCTTAGTCTCTGAACTACCTTTATGTACGTATGTGTGGTGTGTGTACACGAGCACGCACACATGCGCAATGGAACTAAGGCTTGGACTCAGGGCTTTGAGCTCTCACTAGGCATTTTTGCTCACGGCTGGTGCTCTACCATTTGAGCCAAGTGTCCACTTTGGGCTTTGTTTTTTTTCCTGTTTAATTGGAGAGAAGCGTCTCACATTTGTTTGCCCAGGCTGGTTTTGAACTGCAATCCTCACTCAGCCTGGGATATCAGATCTCAACTAGCCTTGGGATATATACTGTGTGTCCTCTTCCTTCCCCTAATTCAGCCTTCAAGCCTTATCCTACATATTACCTACACTGGCAGCTTCCCCAAACTCTACCATGCTAGGTACATTGGGTTCCCTCTTCTACATTTCCACAGTGGCCTGCTCACTCACTCTGTTTGCCCAGCCCATTTCTCTGTCCATTAGGCTGTGGGCTACTTAAGGGTGGGGTTTTGGCCTTGCTTTCCTGTAACCTCCACCAGCTCTGTGATTAACTGTACATATTCACTGACCATAACCAGACCACACTGGGTGAGAGCCTAGTGACTGTCTCAGGCATCCCTGTTTCTATTCCAGGCCTTGGTTTTGGTGGTTGGAACACCAAGGCAAGTTGTCTTTTGGGACGCCAAGAAAAACATGAACTGCCTGCTTGGGCGCAATCTCTGCCAGCAGCCTAGAGTCTCCCTATTCCCCAAATAGGCATGCCCTGCCAACCAACAATCTTGAGACTTTCAAGTACCCCAGCAATTGTTATGGGTTGAGACATCATTGGGAAAGATGGTTGGGGTAAGCAGGGTTCCTCCAGCTCAGATGGGCTGGCTTTGTGGGTTTAGGGAGTTCCTTTTGATGTTCTATAACGATGGTCCCCCTACCTTCAGTGCTGGCAGTTGAACCCAGAGCTTCATACCTGCTATCTCAAGCACTCTACCACTAAGCTGTGCCTCTTGGCCCCTGACATTATCTTAGAAATCTTTAAAATTTGGTGTGTGCGCGCACATGTGCATGTACGTGTGCACGCACACGCACACAAATACACATGCAGTTACCAGAGCTTGAACTCAGGGCCTTATGCTCTTGCTTAGTTCTTTTCCCTCAACACTGGCACTCCATCCCTTGAACTACATCTACAGCTGTAGTTTTTTTAATTGGCTAATTAAAGATAAGAGTGTCAGATGTGTCTGCCCGGGCTGTCTTTGAATTTCAGTCCTCAAATCTCAACCTTCTGAGTAGCCATCACAGGTGTAAACTACCAGTACCCAGCAGCTAGTGGTAGAGTGCTCACCTTGAGCTGAAGAGCTCAGGAGACAGCACCCAGGCTCAGAGTTCAAGCCCCATAACTGAAGAAAAAAAAAAAAGTTCCACTATCTTAGATTGCCATGTCTTTTTTTTTTTCAGTACTTGGATTTGAACTTGGAGCTTTGCTATATGTGTTAATCTTTTCATTTTCTTCGACTTCAGAAACAGCTGCTGGGGTGTATCAGGACATTCGGACTGCTGAGATTCTGATAGTGGGGGAAGGGAAGCTCCAGCAGGATTCTGTTCCAGGCCAGCTGGAGCTGCTTTGGGACCCTGTCCTGTGGTTTAAAACCTAGGCAGATTTAAGACCCAGGCAGATTCCAAGGCAAGTGGGCCTGGCCCTGGGGAAGCAAAGAAAGGGAGGTTTCCACCCCCAGAGCATGGTTCCCACAGGGAGTGGCTTTCTGGCTACTCGGGGACCAGATGAAAGAAGCCATTTGGTCTAAGAACAGATGA